TGAGGTTTTACAAAGATGGTAATACAAAGAGGATGCGATTTGAAGATTTTATAGTTTATAGTTTATTTAAAAAATATTAGTTGGTATTTAATTAAAAAACACTGTATTTTGAAAATTACATTACATTTCTACAAAACTGTTAAATATATTTACAAAATACACTGAATTTCAATTGTTACTGATTCAGATTAGCAAAAACCAAATATTGTTTTATGTTTAAATATCAGTTTCATGCTATAAAGAAATCCTATATTCATTCTGTCCTGAAGAGTATCTCTGATTATTAATAACAATTTATCATATCAACCATTGTCCATTATTATTGATCTTTTTTGTGAGGATTTTTTAACATTAAGATGTAATCAGGCAGACATACAGTCAGTGTTTCCCCTACCATTATACAGGCGGGGCTGGAACCTGTCCTCGCTGCCTTTGGGTGAAGGTAGGGGACACCTGGACAGGTCTCCAGTTCACCAGAGACACCTGGACAGGTCTCCAGTTTCATTAATTTTATTAATAATTATCATGAGGAGTCCTTAACTAGGATGTAGTTGGGCAATTAAATATTCATGTATGTGTAAATTTATTACCATAATTGCAGGTGAGTCGTGTAAATTTATGTTTTTATAAAACAAGTAGCCCCCCCCCCCCCACCCGCCAAGACCAATTTCCTAGGGGAAACACGTATATACACATATACATACATTTATTATTAATGATACTATAATTAAAAGGTGAGTCGTGTAAATTTATGTTTGTATCAAACAAGTAGTCCTTTGTGTTCCTCTGTACCCCTGAAGTAGCTCTCTGCCTCAAAACGATTGGTGATCTCTGCTATAGTTGGTGTTTAAATGTTTTACAATAATATAATTACATTACGTTATGTCATATTTTCAAATTTCTTGTCAACGTTAACATTTTTTGTTTGTTGGTGAGCTGCCCAAGCGGCCCTACCTCCGGGCTTAGCCGGTTTTCTGGGGGAAACCCTGATTATGATTACAGAACAGCATCTAAAGTCCCCGACTTCAGTTCAAGCTGAAGATTTTTACGATCACCAAAACTTTAATTACCATATTTTTCGTGTATAATATGATCTCATGTATAATACGACCCCCCCACTTTTTTTGCGCTTGAAAAGCATAAAAATTTAATCCTCAAACTACCTCCAATTTCATACAGACTTCAAGATTTTTCAACCTTTGCAGTCTTTATACATGTCAGTAAAATGATCATTGGACTGTTCATTTTATTTTAACAACATATGTACTAAAAGGTATTTTGACAACAAATATATATCAGCTGTAGCAGCATCATATGAATTCTGGCATTTTACACATAGTCCACCAGGAGGCGCCAACACAAAAGTCAGAGACTTCACATGAGATTTGGACCATCTTGTGGGGGAAAAGCAGATTACTTCCTACTCGCGAGCGCCCCCTCTGGTGGGGAAACGTTTTTTCAGGGAAACAAACTTTTTCAGAACACCGGTAGACGGCAGCCATTACACACGAACATGTGTTTGTTGTTGTTCCAGGAGCGGCCCGGTCACACACTAATGTCATTAGTTTGTTATCATTACTAAGGTGAAGGACTGCCTTTTTTTCACATCATGTCTTTGATCTGTTATTATCTCACTCTGAAGCACGGAGGAGTGTCAGAGGTGAGCTCGTTTCAACTGATTTTTAGGATGAGGTCTCATTTCCGGCATTTTGTGAATGAAGCCGAGATTTTAGTTAAAATACATAAGTAAAACTATTTATCCGAGTATAATACTACCCCCCAACTTTATAGATGATTTTATGGATTTAATTTTACGTATTATGCTTGAATAAATACGGTACTTTTAAAGCAAGCCGCTGAAGATAAGGTAATGCGACATCGTTCGACAAGAAGCCGACTTTCTTTTGGAGTTGGGCTTGAAGAACGTCACTTCAGTGTGAGTTCGTATCTGAGCTGCAACATTCGTGACATCTCCATTAATTAACCTTTTCACTTTCTTCTCCTCTCATCACTGTTTCCATCACTTCCTGTTCGTACGTCGTCACTCCTCCTCCCGGATTGTTTTCTTTTTACTTGACACATAAAGGACCACGGCTCAGTCAAAAAGCAAAGAGAGACTTCACTTGTCAACAGAAAAAAAAAAGTGATTTCTACTGAAAGATCCTCTTTAAGAGCTTCGTTTTGTGAGATTCTGCTGAAAGAAAATAAAAATTAAGGGTAAACAGGGTTAGGAGCGAGGACTCTAATGAAGACCACACCACGCTAGAAAAGAACAGAGGAAMCTCTCTGCCACCAGTTGCCATGGAAACAAGCCCTTTGGTGGGATGGCGGTGGAGAGGACTGGAGAGCGGCGGTGTGTGAACATCTTTTGTGCGCCGACTTTAAAGGCGTGCGAACATGTGTGTGGCGCCGACGTGCCGAGCATCTACAAACAGTTCCTGGTGTGAACAGAGGGAAGAGAGGCCTGATGGGAAATGGAGTCTGAGAGGAGGAGGAGGAGGAGGGACAAYGAAGACATGATGGTTTTTAGCCATGTCAATCGTTTTACTCTCATCAGGGAAGGGTTTATGTTTACAAAATAAAAGCATGAATTATATAAACAAAACAGATATTTTAGAAATATGGAAATGATCTCATTTAATAAATCTGAATGTTTATTTCATCTTTTGCTAATTATTTTTTTATGTTTTTCATTTTTTTCGCCTGCTTCAAATGAATGTGGGGTGATTATGTAAACACCCTTGTTTTAGATTTGCTTTCGGCAGTAGGTTCTGATGTTATCAGTCCATTAAATGGACATCATTAGCGGTTATCAGTCCCTTAGAATGGCTTCAGACTGTCCCAACAGTGCCCCCTAGTGGGTTAAAATATCAATGACATTGAATGTGTAAATAACCAAAACATATTTTAATTAGTTTTTTGTGGGGGGTTCTCGCTGTTTTCTGGCTTTCTGTGCCTGGTCTCGATCCTAGCTTTCCCACTCCCTGGTCCGGTGCTCTACCCATTGCCCTATACTGGTCCTGCAACAATGGTCTACCTTTTGGAAGCCCATGTCATTTTCTCTAAAATTAACCTTACTCGTTTTATGCCTTATACTAACCAGCCGGTTCTGGCATTATCAGTCCATTCTATGTGAAAGAGAACCTACTAGGAGCCACAGTCTGGACATTCTGAAGCCATTCTATGGGACTGATAACGACTAATAACGTCTATTTAATGGATGATAACATCCGAAGCGGGTGCTTTTGGTTCACAGTTTCATCTTTAAAAACTCCACTGCCTGCTTCCTGCGTTTGGGTTTTCATCGTGAACCGAAAAACAACATTACCTTAGTTATTTCAACAGATTTCTTTTCTCTAATCTGGATTAAGGATTTTCCATGTTGCTACCTTCAGGATGCTTTGATGCAGAAACAACAAAAACCAAACAACAATGTGTGTACCTTCTGATACTGATCTTTGGAGGCTGAAGCTTCCTGCAGCTGCTGCTGTGTGAAGGTGTAGATGGCAGAGCGGTACGTCGTCCCAATATCGTTCCCCTGACGCATCCCTGAAAACACACACACACACTATGAATCCCTATCCTTGTGGGGACTTTCCACTGACTTCCATTCATTTTTTGGGAATTTTATAACCTAACCCTGACCATTTACCCTAAAACTAACCTCACAGGTACCTACCTGACACTAAAACTAACCTAAACTCAATTCACACCTTGGTCCTAAACCCAACCACCACACCCACCAATGGCGTTTAAACCAAATGAGGACTCGACTTTTGTCCCCTAATGCACCAGTTGTCCCCAAATGTAGGCATTTTGTCTTAAAATTGCCCCCAAATGTCACTAGAAACAACCCCCCCCCCCCCCCACACACACACATACACACATAGGTTGCAATAAAAACCTAAAGGATTTCAGCTGACATGAGGCGTTTGTGCTCAGTTCTTGGAGAACAGAACATCACTTCATGTGAAAACAACAGCTGACAGCTTTTCCAAAAATTCACAAGACCTGTCTGTCTTGGCAGAACTGAAAGGTTTTTCTTTTTTTTTTTGACTAATTTCGTCATTTCACTGTCAGCTTGTCAGCTTGTCATCTGCAGTGTGTGTTGTTCGATCCATCAGTCACAAAAAGGTACAGACTTCAACGCTTCCTCAAAACTGTAGATGATTCATTTGTGACCGGCTGTCGATAAACAGTTGCTCTGAAATAACTAGAGCTAGACCCCAGCTTTTGTTACTTTTTTTAGTTTATCGGAGCACAAAGTGCTTTTACGTTCAACAAAAATGAAACGTTGCATTTCTCCTGTGGAGGTGAAGGTCTGGTTTTCCTACCTTGAGTAGGGTCGTGGCTCTCCCAGAAGACTTGGAGAAGACGGGCGAAGCTGATCTGTTCTGGATAGAAAACGACTCGAACCACTTCCGTGTGTCCCGTTCTGCCTGCAAAACACCAGAATCATCAGCCATTAAATCACAGATACAATTTAAACTGATTTGATTTGTGTTAGAAACTGGTCTTACAAATCACAACTTTATTCAGCTACTCAAAGAAACATTTTATTATGTTATTTTATGTCTTTAGAGCCTTCAAACAAGAAAACGTCCAGAGAGTGTGTTTGTCTGTCACCAAAATATCTCATTAATTAATAAATGGACTTTAACTCGGATGTACGCGAGTCTGGACAACACGCCTTGAGGGTCCATTTGTGTGGACGATCTTAAGACGGATTTTCTAAGCAGAAACCCAAAATACCTGGACAGGTGACTGACCTCATCTTTAAAGGTAAAGCTGGCTGTTATGAACTTCGCTGTCTGGCCGACGCTGAGCAGAGAACGTCTTGCCTCTCTGGTTAACCCAYATTATTTAAGTTAAAGTTAGGAGAGCTAACACCTTACTTCCTTCCTTTTCTTAAAACCTACCTTGCCAAACTTGCCTCAAATGTCTGGTATTCAACATCTAAGCTCGACGTTTGTGTTCTATTTAAGTATCTGATTGACAGTTACGAAGCTCAAAGCGCTTCTTATTGTTGGTCCTAAACTTTTATAGGAAATTGATTGCACACAATTAAGTGTACTGTAGTGATTTTGTAAAAAAAATTATCACATTTATTTATGGATCAAATCAAAATTCACTGACTGAGAGTCACTTTTGTGTGCCCATTCATTTTGCACGGGATGAATATTTTCCTGACAATAAAGAGATCCTTGCTAAAATAAATTCCTTATAACCTTGTTATAAGAAGGTACGGTTAAACCCTTACAGTAGAGAAGAATCTGACGTTTCTTTAGATTATTCTGAGTCTATCAGAGATGAAGAAGAGTCAGAGTTCAAATCAGGGCTGCCACGATTAATCGATTAATCGACGACTAATTGATTATTAAAATAATCGATGACTAATTTAATAATCGATTGTTTGTTTTTTTTTGTTGTTGTTGTTCTTTACTTTGTTTTTCTTTCCAAACTGCTTTGACTCCTTCCACTGCCACGTCTGCCTTTCTG